GTCCGAATGAACTTTCTTACTGTTCCTCATACCTGTGATGCCAACTCCCATTTCCATGTCTTTGCATTCCAGCTATGCTTGGAAGTACACCCTCTTCCCCTTTGCCTCTTAAACTTCCCTAGCTCAGCCCAAGTGCCACCTTCTATATGAAACCTCTTCTGATCCCTCCAGTCAGTGGGATAGTGTTTGCTTTCTACCAAATTAACTTCTATCTGTTTTGTATTTACAGTCTCCTCTAGCTAGATTGTAAGGTGCTGGAGGGCAAGGATTGTGTTGTATCTCCAATACATAACATATGCTTAATAAATACTTGTTGGGTGATTGATTTTGCTAGTCGTACACCAATATTTCTTTTTCCACTCCTGTTTTCACCTGTGGGTAGATATATATGCATGCATATACACATTCAGATATTTGGTTACCTACTTACTTTCTTAATCCCCCACCTTTTTTGTACCTCAGCAATATTGTCTCCCCTTTCAGCCCTAAATTAAATTCATGGGGTTTTGTCTTTTCTTTGGTAATACTCCGTTAACCCCGATGCGGGAATAGAGAAATTTTTATCAAAAGCTAAGTTTAATTGGTAATTCTCCTTCCAGTTTCTCCTTTATCTAATGCATCCTCCAGACAGCTGACAGTAGTCATCCTAAAGCACAGGTCTGACCGTGTTACTCCCCTGATAAATAATTTTCAGTGGCTCCCTTCTGCCTCTAGGAAAAAAATGTTAGGCTCATCTTGACAGTTAAACCCTTTGCTACCTATCTGTCCTACTTTTTTCTACACCAGATTGTCTCCCTTAGTAATAATTAGAGGAAAAAAGCGGCATCATGACTCTCAGACTCCTCCTTAATTTTCCTTTCTTCCCTGTGCTTTCCATCTCCCTAAGTGGGGAGAGAAGAGAAAAAAAAGTACTCTGGCTACTTTAATCATTCCTTCCCTTCCACTCCTTACATCCTTACCCCTTGTTGGTGGCACAGTCGGCATTCATCTCCTTGCAGTGAGAGCAGGGAGGAAACCAACCAAGCAGCCAACCTTATTTAACCCTCTCTTGTTAGTCATCTGGTTAAGGAGATGGTAATTGGGGAGAGAGAGAAGAAGAGAAGAAAGGGAATAAGAAGCCCATGATACAGTAGGGATGCTGTGAAGAGAAAAGTGTTTTTTTTTTCCCCTGGCCTCAGATATTTTTTTTTCGTACCCCTCTACCTCCTCTCTTTCATATCTCAATCTTATTTCATCATCCAGAGCTGCTTCACCATTTCTTCCACCATCAACCTTAGAGGTAAATTGGTGTAGTAGATGGAGCATTGGACTAAGAATTAAGAGACTTGAATTTTTTTTTTAAGTAATATTTTATTTTTCCCCAGTTACATATAAAGACAATTTTTAACATTCATTTAAAATTTTTTTGAGTTCCAAATTTCTTTCTTTCTCCCTCACCTCCTCATTCCTGAGACATTAAGCAATCTGACATAGATTATACATGTTTAGTCATGCAAAATATATTGAGATTTGGATTCTAATCACAGCTCTGACAATAGCTGGGTGACCTTGGGTAAATCATTTAATTTTTGTGAAGTTGTTGCCTTACCTGTAAAGTGAGGGGGGTTAAACTGGATGATCTCAAAAAGCTCATTTAGGTTTATGTTTCTGTCTTTCTTCTTCCACCATGGTAGAGCCCCTAACTCAAGCCATGAAAACTATAACCAATGGCTTGGTGTTTGGGGACTCTTCCCATTGGGGAGTTTGTGAGTTGGTGGTAGTGAAAGTCCTGATCCCTTTGCCTGGGGCTACAGTTGAGGAAAGATGTGTTCCAGGGACCCCTAGTTGAAACTCAGTTCATTTTTCCATACTTTACATTTCATGGTGGTTGAGTTCTGTGATACTAGTAGTGTAATACATACTATATCTATGCAGTTAGACTGGACTTGTGATTTAATTGGTGAGAAAACTCCTTCTATCAATGCAGGTTGACACCTTTGCAATTCAGGGTCTTAGAGAGCCTCCTATAGCGTTAAGTGACTTGTCTGGTGTCACACAGTCACTGTGTGTGAGAGGACTTGAACCCAGAACCTCCCTGTTTTGAGGCAAGTTCTCTATCCACAATCTAAGATATACTATGAATGAAATGTGGGGTTACTTCCTTCCTTCCTTCCTCCCTCCGTCTCTCTGTCTCTCTCTTTCTCTTGGCTGCCCTTGGAACTAAAGCAGCGTATAAATTATTTGTCTAGGAAAATGTTTTGATTTCCAACCACCAATTTTACCAGCATATTTTTGGAGTACAACTTCCTTGTAAATTTTTTTAAAATAAATTTATTTATTTTTAGCTTTCAGCATTTACTTCCACAAGATTTTGAGTTCCAAATTTTCACCCCATCTCACCCCTCCCCCCACCCCAAGATGGCATGCATTCTGAATATCCCTTCCCCTAGTCTGCCTTCCCTTCTATCTCCCCCCCCACCCTTATCCCCTTCCCTTTCTATTTTCCTATAGGGCAGGATAGAACTTCCTTGTAAATTGAGAACTACCTGAGAAATAGTATGGTTTAGAGGAAAAAGCATAAAGATTTAGTCAGGAGATTAAGTCCTGGCTCTCATTAGTAACTGGGACTGTAGTCAAGTAGCTTCAGGTTTCTGAACCTCAGTTCCTGGATCTGTAAAATGGGGATAATGATACCAATTTTGCTTTGTTGTGAGGAAGACTCTTTATAAACCTTAACATGAACTTTAAAGGTGAACTATTTTATTACATGAGGTGGGGGAGGGGGAGGCAGATAACTCATCGTAAAAGGAGTCTGTAGGCATGGAAGTAACTAGATAGCTGGCATTTTAATTGACGGGTTGCATTTCGCCAGTACTAAAGCTGCTTGGAGGTTATTTCCCTTTGTAGTGGGATTCCATTTGCATTAGTTTGATGTTCAAATTAGTTCAGCTAAAGCAAACAGCTGTGTGAAGACACACACTAATTTCAGGTTCCTACATTGTTACCCTTATGTTTCTTGCTAATATTTATGGTGTTGTTACATATGTATATAAGACATGTTACAGAATATCTATAATAAATATACACATAGTACCATACTTTCTCTCTAACCAAGTTATTTATATACATATATTTATATAGAAACGTTATAATAACATATGCATGTGTATATACATACACACACATTACCGGGTAATATCACATATATATTACCAGGTAAATGCTAATGACCTTCTCAACAATATTTTATAACTAGGTGTCAGTATTTTATTAGTCCATATATAGGCTATGTTTCTCCCTTCCCTTCCCATTTTTGGCTTCTGTAAAACTTAAGTGCTACTACCTATATACTATATCCCCTAGCAGTTGCTTTTTTGTATATGTTACATAAACATATTTCATTTCAAAGAGATCTCACATATGGAGGTGATCTATATTCAGGAGTAGACTATATCTGAGTCCAATAGAGTCTATGTATAACATCCCCCTTTCTCTTTTATCCTACTCCTCCCGCACACGTTTTGTCATATTACAATGTCCTTAGTAGCTGCCTTATTAATTAATGCACTTGAATCATTTTCAGCTTACAAAAATACGCTCCCACATATATAAAATACCATACTCAAAGTTAAGATTAATAAATATTTGTAAGGGCTCCATTAAATGTAGCTGCCACTATTATTCTCAATAATAAAACAGGGAAGAAAGTTGCCAATCACTTAATTCATTGGCCAATCATTTTTGAACTTTTGTAGAGCTCATATATTTTCTTTGTCTTTAACATAATTGGAAAACCATGCTAAAACCATTCTGTAATTCTTTAATAGTTATTTTAAGTGAATGACCTGCTCAAAATTGCATCAGATCCTTACTGATAACTCTGAGTTATCCATATATCATGTGAGACCTTTTGATATTTCAGCGTTCATCCAGTCAATCCAGTATTACTTGAAACCTTCTGTGTACATTGTAATATTTTCTGTAGGTTGGCTACTTAGAGAACACTCGAAGCAAACCTAGCTTCCCATAGAGAATGGTGGTAGCCCTTCAAGTCCTGGTGTACAAATATGGAATCATATGTTTGCAGAGTTGGACATCACAGGATGATAGATTTAGAGCTGGAAATAACTTTAGAGGTCATTTAGTCTAACCCCTCCATTTTATAGCTAAGGAAACTGAAATGTGACTTTTCTAAATTTGTAGGTTTATAAGTTTATATGGAAAGGCAGAGTCAGCATTTGAAACTGTGTCCTCTGACTCTAAAGCCCCCACTTTCTCTTTCAGAGGTCATTTAGTCTAACTTCAACTCAAAGCCTGAGTGCTGTTTGCATTACATGAAACAGGTGGTCATGCAGCCTTCCCTGAATTATCTCTAGTCAGGTTTGGGGAACTCACTACTAATGAACCCTTTCCTATCTCAATCCGTTCGGTTGTTGGGCAGCTGTAAGGATTAGGAAGTGTTTTCTTATGGTGAATGTGGATAATTAAGCTAAATTAAAAAGCCTTCCTGTAATTTCTACTTATCCTAATTCTCTTCTCTGAGACTCAAGCAGAATAAATCTGATTCTTCTTCCATATGACAAGTTTTCAGTTAGGTTAATACAGTTGACATATCTTTACACACCACAAGTCTTCTTCTCGAGGTGAAACATCCCCAGTTTGTTATTTTTTTAAAGTCTCCCCAGGTGGCATGGATTTGTGCTCTTCCCATCCTGATTCCCCCCCTCCCCCGCTGGATGCTTTCGGTCTTGTCAGTGTCCTCATGGGATATGATCAAGATACAACAAGAGCAGGTTTTCCTTCATTCCAGACATTCTGCTTCTGCGAAGTGAAGCTTCGGATCATATTCCCAATTTTTGGCCATTGCACACTGCAGTCTGTTTAAAACCTTCCAGTCATTTCCACACAACCTGCTTTCTAGCTGCTGACCTTGTGAGATTGATTTAAAAAAAAAACCAAACCAAAAAACCTCATTCAGGATTCCATGTTTATTCCTATTTAACTTCATTTTTTTTTTTTAGCTTCTTCCAGTGGAGGAACGACGCCATCTCCTACAAACAATGCTGGGAATGGACACCCAGAATATGTTGCAATTGTGTTAGTTCCAGTTTTCTTCATCATGGGACTTGTAGGAGTCTTTATTTGCCATCTGCTTAAGAAGAAGGGTTATCGGTGTACAACAGAAGCTGAACAAGATATTGCAGAAAAGGTTGAAAAGATAGGTAAGTGACCCCAATTTTATTTATTTATTTTTAGGCAATTGGGGTTAAGTGACTTGCCCAGGGTCACACAGCTAGTAAGTCTCAGGTGTTTGGTCTGAGGCCCGATTTGAACTTAGGTTCTCCTGACTTCAGCACCGGTAATCTATCCACTGCGCCACCTAGCTGCCCCCCAATTTTTAAAAAGTGGAATTCCTCTTCCCTCCCCACAACCCCAAGCCAGCCAACCACACACCCTGATTCCTTGGTCACTTACTCATTTTTAGAGGGTTAAATGCAATGTGCTGTGTAACCTCCACCCCATTGCTCCCAGCTCTGCCACCTGGGGCTAAGGAGAACAAGTCTCATTTCTCTTCCTTGTGACAGCTGCAAATATTTGAAAACAACTGTTATATCCCTTCCGTGTCTTTTGTTCTCCAGGCTAAACAACACCCGTTCCATCAGTCAATACTTACATGAGTTCCCATCCTTTCTGTCCTGTTAGAAAGACAACCTCAGGCCAGGACTATTTAGAGCATGAGTTTGTAATCTTTTTTTGTGTCATGGACCCCTTTGGCACTTGGGGGAAGCCTGTGGTCCCTTACTCAGAGGAATGTTTTTAAATGCCTAAGATAAAATACATTAGGATAACAAATGAAATTCAATTAATATTGAAATACAGTTATAAAAATGAAAAACAAAACAAAACAAGTTCACTGACTTCAGGTTAAGAAACCCTGATTTAGAGACGAATATTATCAGTGAAAACAAACTCACTCTCACATATATCTCAACTTCTCACTTGCTTCATGTGAGTATTTCATATTATTCCAATGTGGAAATACTGTACTTTTTAATGAAAATAACTGGATTAGTAAAACGTATCTTCCCCCAGTTCGGAATAGGTATTGAAAAATGCCTTGGAGAATGGGACAGACAGGCCATTTCCATGAATCTTGTAGCCCTTCGATACTGTTTTGGCAGAAAGGGGACCTTTGGCAGAGGTCATGGGTCAACCAGGCATTGTGAGGGGAGAGGCTTGCTCTTTCACGGTCAGCTGACCGAATTGTTATTTTTTTCCCACCCCCACTACCCTTTAGAGACTCTTTGCATAATGAGTCATATGAAAACTTATGAGCAAACTTAGAAGGAAACCTCAGATAGTGTTTGTAAACAGAAAACTGTACTTCCTCCTAGAGAGCATCTCCTCTGCTGGTTAGCTGTATAAGGCTTTCTCTTTTCTGAAGTCTCTTTTCCATGAAGCCTAATTTGTGCCTGTCCATAAGGAAGACAGCAAATGCATTCATTCATTCTTGGCAAGGCCTTGGCCTTGCAAGAACAGTTTCGAGGTTTCTAAGAGGCTGTCATTTGTTACACGGCTCACTGTAACAAACGAGTCTGAGCAATTTGAGGACAGAGGCTTTTCTTTGTGAAGGTCGAGCAAAGCTGGGCTGCTGGCTGCCACTCACCTACAATGGCCTTGTACATTTGAATAGAATTCATGTTTCCTTATTTAGCTTCAGAAAATGGAAAGATACATTTTAAAAGAGCATGGGAAACAATTTTGAGGATGCTGGCCAAATGGAAATTGCAGCCATTTGAGCAGTTTTGAAATGTTTTCAGATGGCTCCAAGAGGTTTTTTTTTTTTGAGAATACAGTAGCATAGAAATGATTGTTGTCCAATTAGAAAACAAGACTAACATTTGAATTGGAATGGTAAGCCAAGAATTGGAGTACAAAGCTAGGAGATTATTTAATTAGCTTCCTTCCTTTTCCCTTAAAGTCTGATGTGGAAATGGGGAGAATGATGCAACTTGAAAAAAAAAAGCTTATTGCCTAGGATAAATACATGATGGTATTATTTTGAGAAACCACCAGGAGATTTTGTAGTCAGTCAGTCAGTCAATCTATAAACATTTATTAAGTATCTATAAAATGCCAGGCTTATGCACTGGGGAAACAAAGAAAGGTAAGACAGTCCCTGCTCTCAAGAAACTCACAGTTTAATAGTAAGGCAACAATATGCAAAAAACTAAGTATAAATAAGCTGTGTACTGGATAAGTTGGAAATGATCAACAGAGAGAGAAGGCACTCGAATTAAAGGGGATCAGGAGAGGCTTCTTATAAAAGGTGGGATTTTAACCAGGGAAGACAAGTGGCAGAGATGAGGAGGAAGAGCATTCCAGGCATGGGGGACAGCTAGTGCAAATGCCCAGAGTCTGGAAATGGAATATCTTATCCCAGGAATGGAAAGGAGGCCATTGTCACTGGATGACAGAATGTATTTGATGTGGTGGTGGAAGGTGTGAAAGAAGACTGGAAAGGTGGGGAGTTACAAGTGATGAAGGACTTTGATGAACACCTAACACAGGAAAAAAGGAAGGAAACAAGCATTTATTAGGCCCTTGCTAAGCACTTTACAAAAATTGTCTTGTTTGATCCTCACTATCCTTTGGAAGTAGGTGCTAAAGTACACTCATTTTACAGTTCAAGTAACTGGGGTTAAGTGACTTGCTCAGAATCACACAGCTAGTTAAGTATCAGAGGCTGGATTTGCACTCATGTCTTTCTGACCAGACCCAGCACTGTATCCACTGCAGTTATTTTTTTTTAACAATATTTATATTTGATCCTGGATTTGATAGGGAGTTTGTTTTTTAAAATATATTTTTCCTATTTATTGACCCTTGTTTCAAGTCAGGTCAACAAGTTTCTTATTCTGATCAAACCCCATATGTCCATGAGCCTTCCTGGGCCCCACCTGGCCAGGCTGGAGCCTCCCTCTATCTCTGGCCAGAGGGGGAAGGCCTCTTCAAGTTAGAATGTAACTCTGGGACTATCAGCCTCTCATTTCACAGAGGGGACAACTGAGGACCCAGGAGGCTAGACAGGAGACAAAACACTTAAATAGAGAAGAGGGAAAGCCCAGTAGACCCAAGAAGAGCTAGCCTCAATGGAAAAGTCTGATGGCTTGAGTTGTACTGGGGCAAGAGTAAGAAGGGAGCCAAGAGGATGCTGACGAAGCCCAGGAGAGGTGAGCGCTTGGACAAAGGGACAAAGAGGAGAGACGCCGTGGAGGCAGGTTTCAGGGGTATCAGCCTCAGCCGTAGCCCAACAGCCTTGGGGGGGATTTCAGGAAAGAGCTAAGAAGCAAGAGGACATTTTGGTCCTTTTAATCATAGAGTTTCAGTTGTTGGGGGTGGGGACAAGGCTCTTGACCTCTTCCTTGAGGTCCCCTTAGTCTAGGGCGGCCCTTCTCTCTGCCACAATGTACAGAAAAACTGTATACTAAAACTGGAGTTTATTGAGGTATATATATGTGTGGCAGGGGAGGGAGGTTTGACATGGTCGGACATGTGGTTTAGGAAGATCTGTTTGACAGCCAAGTCAAGGATGGATTGAGGTAGGCAGAGACCTTTGGCAGGCAGACCCAGCGGAAAAATAATTGCAGTAGTCCAAGGGTGAGGTGATGGGGGCCGGCACCAGGGTGATGGCAGTGTCAGAGGACAGAAGGGTTTACATGGGAGACTTATTACAAAGGTAAAATCAGGAGGCCTTGGCACAAGAAAGCATATAGGGGGATGAGAGTGAAGAGTTGGAAATGGCACTTGGGTTTTGATCCTAGGTGATTGGGAGCTAAGTGATACATTGGATAGAGTGCCATGCCTGGAGTCAAGAAGACTTGAGTTCAAATTCAAGCCTCAAACAATAGCTTTGTGACCCTGGGTGAGTTACTTGAGCTCTATTTGCCTCAGTTTTCTCATCTGTAAAATGAAGATAATGACAGCACCTACACACCAGGGTCATTGTGCGGATAAATGAGATAAAAATTGTAAAGTGCTTAGTACAGTGCCTGGCACATAGTAAATGCTATATAAATGTTGTTGTTATTATTACTGGGTAGATGGTGGTACCCTTAGTATTAACAGGGCAGGCAAGAAGAGGAGAGGGTTTGAGTGGAAAGATAATGAATTCAGTTTTGGAGGTGTTGAAGGCGTTGGACATTTTTAAGGTGTCTTTGGGACATTCAGTTCAAGATGAACAGTAGGTAGTTGTAGATGCAAGACTGGTTTAAAATATACATGAGCAATTAATGAGAAATTCAGGAATAAATATTGATAATAGTTCTATTTTATTTTGTTATAAAATTATACTGAAGAAGTATCTGAATACCGCATTCCTGACAAATCCAAGACAAATTTAGGAAATTCAGACTCTCTTACCATTTTACTGGGCACTCCCTTGACTCTTTTCAATGGGTGAAATATCCTTCAATTTAAGAGTGAATTTAAGAAATTTAAGAATTGTAGAGGGTGCAGGTGATTTGCTAAAATGTTGTCTCCTTTTTTCTTTCAGAATTGAATGACAGCGTATATGAGAATAGTGATACTGTTGGGCAAATTGTCCATTACATCATGAAAAATGAAGGTATGATAATCTTAACAACATTATAAATTTGGTAATATGTTAATAGCATTTAAAACTTCTGGTAGTTTAAAAAATCTTCAGAACAAATTTTCAATAAGGGATAAACTTGTGAATACCTTTGGTAATGTTAATGCCGGTTGAAGTAACAATTGAGTAGTCAGTCTTTTTTTTGCAAATATAACAACACCTCATTGAATTGACTTTATGAGGGAGTGAACCCTTCTACATAAATGAAATTTTCAGATAACCAAAGCTTCCATTTAACAGCACCAAAAGTTCTGTGGGAAATGAGCATTTCAGATCGAAATCTTTCCCCACCTTCTTAAGTAATAGCTTATATTATGATAAAACTGGGGTAACATGGTTACTAAACAATAATTTGTATAATAGAATAAAAAAGCATATAGAGCAACAATGCTTCTTCCAACACTGTCATCATTATTAATATTTTTATTTGGGAGGCAGTGTGGTGTAGTGGAAAGACTTTAGTGCTGTTAATGACATGAGCCTATAATAATAATAGCTTATATAGTATTAATGGTTATAAATTGCTTTATATCTGTGGTGCTATGTTATTCTTACATTAACCTGTTGGGTAGGTAGAACACTTATTCTTCTTCACATTTTATGGATTGGGACTCTGAGGCTCAGAGAAATTGTCTTGCCTCAAATTATATCGCTTAATAATTATTAAGTACCTACTATGTGCTGGGCACCATGCTAGGTTCTGGAAAAGTGAACCTGACCCTGCTTTATATACCTGATAAGCTCCTCAAGGAACTTACATACCCATTAAGTGGTGACACCTAGACTTGAACCCAGGTTTTTCTGATTCCAAGTTTAATGTTCTTTCTACTCTAACAGGCTACAGCAGCCCCAGCTAGGTGGTGCAGTGAATAGAGTGTTAGTCTTGTACTCAGGAAGACCTGAGTTCAAATCTAGCCTCAGACACTTACTAGCTTTGTGATCCTGGGCAAGTAACTTAACCCCTATTTGTCTCAGTTTTCTAATCTGTGAAAATGAGCTAGAAAAGAAAATGGTTAATCATTGGTATCATTTGCCAAGAAAACTTCGAATGGGTTCATGAAGAGTCAAAAACAACTAAACCAAAAAGCAAGGTCTCCTTTAACCATCGCATATGAATCCTAACTTAATTTTTTCTTTTTTATATAGAGTTAGCATTATGTACATCAGTGATGCCCTTAGGGGCTCCTGATATCTTGGTATTTAAATAGTCTCAGAATACTGTGCTTTTAGAGTTCTTGGGTTTACTTTTCATATTTTTTTCTATCCCCTCTCTTTTGTCACTTCTTATGGATATGACTGGACCGTTATTTAGCTGATATCCTTCCCCACTTTCATTCTAAGTGACCTCTTCCAATCCACTATGGGCTAGGGCTAAGCGGATAGCCAGGCTTGTGGGAGATTTCTATAAAATGAGGGTAACTGGGCAGTGAGTAAAGTCCAGAGAGCCTTTCCAATGTGTAAAATGCGTGAGATTTATTGGACTTTCAAGCAGCAGGTAAGTAAATTCTGGGTAAGTGGGATCTTAACGTATCCTTCTTCAGCGTGGATGTCCAAATATCTATGTATTTGTCCATGGCAGTGATATCTGGTGATGATAAGGCTCGGTAAGGAGGCAAGGTAAGGTGGCATTCCTTGGATGGGTAGGAACAGAAATAAATCCTCTAAACCCAATAATAACTTTCATTTATGTGATACTTTATGTTTACATAGCATTTACTGACAACAAGCCAATGAAATAGGAAGGAGGAAGAGTTGGAGGAGTTCCCATTTTAGAGATGAGAAAACTGAGGCTTGGAGAGGTGAAATGTTTGTCTATGGACACATAGGTAGTTAGTGGCAGAGCTGGACCTGGAACCCAGGTTATAGGATTTAGAACTGGAAGGAACCTTAGAGATCTAGTCCAGTCCCTTTATTTTGCAAGTAAGGAAACTAAAGCCAGGAGAAATCACATAATTTGCCAGAGCTTACCTAGGAAGTCGGAAGTAAGTTGTTTGTTGTTCAGTTGTTTTTCAGTTGTACCTCACAACAGTCCACATGTTCGTTAGACAAGGACCAGAACAACTGAGTTTAAAGAAGTGATGAAAGTTTTTGTCCACAGCCACTCCTAAAATGGTTTCAATCAGACATCAATACAGGGAATGCCCATAGACTCTTTGTGACCCCATTTGGGGTTTTCTTGGCAGAGATACTGGAGTGGTTTTTGCCATTTCCTTTTCCAGTTCATTTTACAGATGGGGAAACTGAGGCAAATGGGGTTAAGTGACTCACTCAGGGTCACACAGCTGATAAGTGTCTGAGGTCATATTTGAACTCAGAAAGATGAATCTTCCTTACTCTAGGCTTGGCACTCTATTCATTGCTCAACCTAGCTTGTGATAGGAATAGAAGCTATAATTAGTTCAGTTGGTTAGAATATAATCTCAATGATAACAAGGTTATAGATTCTACTCCTTTTGTAAGCCATACCCTTTTGTTTTGTTCCATGGCTTGTGGCTACACCAGACATTTCTTTATCTTCCATTCTTTAATACCTATTTCCCTAGCATACTAAAATCCTGTCTTATACCAGAAGTCTTTCCCAATCCTTATTCATTCTAATACCTTAATTATTTCCTGTTTATATTGTATATATCTTATTTGATACAAATACAAATATATCTGTTTGCTTGTTGTCTCCCTATTAGATTGTGAGCTCCTTGAGGGCAGGGATTATCTTTTGCTTCTTTTTGTATTCCCAGAGTTTAACACTGTGCCTGGCACATAGTAGCCACTTAACAAATGTTTATTGACTGACTGACAAGTATTCTGCTGCACCCTAGTGATAAATTATGAAAAAAACAAACAAAAAACAAGCCTGCCCTTTTCTGAAACTTTCTACATTCTTAGACTGAGTCAAAGCTCCATCTGCTATTAGGTAAACACTAATAACTCTTATCAGAATTTTGTAACCTGGCATTTCTGCCTTGGCTTCTACTTTGAAGCCAAGATCCTTCATGACTTTATGGGAAAATATCTTTATCCCACAACAAACTCTACCAACCTGACTCTGATGCTAATATCAACTTTTTGTTGATATTAGTCTTTGTTCTTTTCCCTGAAATCTTTTTTGTATCACTAGTGGAATGAAGGTTAAATTTTAATACTATTGTACTTCTAATGACATTCTCATTCATATATTAATCACATCCTGGATGTTGCAATTCAATTTTGGTTTGTCTGGGCAAGCTGCTAAATGTCTTTTATGGGATAGACTTTTATCATCCGCTCCACAAATCATTAATCTCCTGTAATTTCTTGGTCTTTGACTACACGGAATACTACCTCACTCCTCAATTGTTAATAGAATTGTTGCCTCTGGGGTTCTCCTGTTAATTTCCTCTTCTGGTCTGGCTGCTGTTGCTGGAGCTTGAGTATGCTAAGGGACTTGGATTGTGTGCGGAAACTAGAGGTGCAAATGCTCAGCAGGCAGGCCCTGATTGTTTATGAAGGGAAAGAGACTTTCTAGGCAGCTTTTGCTTTAGGGTCCATAATTTTAAATTTTATCTGTGAATTACCCAGAAGGCCTGACTCAATTCAAATCCTGTCTCTGACATGTAGTGACGGTGTGATCATCAGTGCTCCAGGCAAACCTTTTAAGACTGTGAGTTGCAGAGAAGGTGCTCACTTGCATTGGTAGAGTGATTTTTCTCTCCTGGACATTACCTATTGTCAACTGGACTGGAACTGATCTCTGACCGGTGGGTGGCTAAAGCTGAACAAAGCAGGATAGAGACAGGAGAGTCAGGAATCAAACAGAAATCTAATTTCAAAGTGAGGAAAATACTTGCAAGCAGAAGTCCACCTTTCTGAGAAGGAGGGCTTATGGCTTGTGGCAGGGGTAGGGCTTTTATACATGAAAACCACAAGAAGGTGGTATCTAACAATCTTGAGTAAACAGTTTCCCTGGTTGGCATTTCTTGGGACAATACAGGCGTTCTTGGGTTCTTGGGAATAGTCCCTAAGTTATTAGAATTGTTGAGCTTTGTGATTGTCTCAAGTTGTTAGGGTCGTTGAGCCTTGTGATCATTCAGTGGGGTATAGAACCAATGTTAGTGTGTTGGGAACAGGATTGAAGCACCTGGTTTGATTCACTTAGTATGTCAGGAGATTTGATTGATCACTTGATGCTGCTGCATGTCGGCTGCAATACCGGCTCCCTTGGGATCCCCTGGGAAATAGGGATCAAAGCAATACAAAAATTGTATGATTTTGCCAGAGGGTGAGCGCAAAGGATTGTTGTTATGTCAAGCTCAGGGCACAGCTTATTTGCTGGGCCTTAGCTCAGGAAAACAGGGTGTCTCCTAATAGCTTGACACTATACTAACGAAATCACTGGTCTAGACTATCTCAAAGTAGAAATTGTCTGTAAATAGTTACATAATTGAATAGCTCTCTCAGAAGGATATCAAGGTGATTGTTGCTAATAATGTAACTAAGGTTCCCATGACTCATTATGCTTAGGTATATAGAGGCTTGAGTAACTGGACTTTTGAGGAAAGATGATCTGATGATAGAAATTTTGCCTCTTCAGTGAATGACTTGGGGAGAAGTGCTGGTGGTAGTTGCAGTCTTCCCCCCTCAGATACAGATGTAGTGTTGTTCAGGGAAAAAGTAGAGGGAAGTCCAGGGAGGGAGGGCATTTTCCTGGGAATTCTTTCTCACTGAAGATTTTCTCTGGCCCCTAAATTCCCTTCTTCCCTTCTTCCACCTATTTCCTATATGCTTCAGTTAGCAAAGAATTAATGATTTAAAGGAAGTCGGCTTACAGATGATTATCAGCTATGGTTAAGTTCTTCTGGATATGAAGGAAATGTAGCAAATAAGAAAGTCTAAGGACATTAATTAGTATCCTAAGGTATTAATAAATAGAGCATTTTAGAAGCAATCAGTGTTTATGTTGAACTCTTCTCATCTGAGGCAGCCAGTAAAACCTT